GCACGTGTCGAAAGGCATCCAGCCGGAAAGCATGAAGCATATGGTGCTCACACTTAGTCTGCGTATATTGGAAGTTTTGAAAGTCCTACACAATGCAACCTCCGGCATTGTCGTAACACTAGATGAAAGATATCCGTGGTTTGAAAAAAAATTCTATATTACTACATGCAGCTACATTGAGGGACTGATCACGAGCTTAATCTTTCATGATTTGAGCAGTTGACCTTGTGATTGGCCTGCATCCGGGTAACCGAAAGGCAAACTTCATCAGACGGGCCACTGAAAACAGGTGCTTACCTAACAAGAGTGTATTTAATTGCCCAGAGAAGGTTGTTTCATAGTAATATGAAGGTTATACCTTGTTGTTTCAGTAGAGATCTCACGATGTGGCGACAATAAGATGTCGTAAAAATAAATATTATGATGGTGCACCTCGCGGTGAAATCAAATCTAACCACGCTCGAACCACATTGGCGGTTTGTTGTAATTTGCTGCTCCTTGAAGGAAATATGGAATGATTATCATTTTTTTAATACGACGGCGCACTCTGGACCCCCATCCAGACAATTCTACCATGTGTAAGTAGAACATAAGGTTGACGGAAACTCGGGGACTGCGCCTACCTGATGAACCCAAGAAGGGTAACCTTGTGAGTAGCTTCCTTGTTGAAAAAAGACTCCTAGGGTTGTTGCGTTATGCTGTAAAATACCGACCATATACACCGGCAAAACCCTTGTTATAAGATGATTCAGTCGGAAAAGTTGAAAGTGATGTCTGCGAGGAAAACATCAATTCGAAATGTATGTATTCACGCTGGGTTTTCGAATAGTAGCTCGCCTATTTTTTACGATGTACGCTGCTTGTGTCCATCGTCTATTTGTAAGTTAGGTAGAGCTGCAATCACAGTCAATCTTCTGGATAAAGGCAATTCCGTCTTTCATATCGTATCGTTCAGCTGTAGCACAATTTTGGTGCCTAGATGCCATGCTACCCGAAGGGAGCACGAGAACTGCGATACTGCCAGGTTGCTCAAGCCTAGACAGAGGAAGTCGAGAGGCAAAGGTTGGGTTCGAACTACTGACCCATCCCGCTCATTACGTCCTTAGATCTGATTGGGTTCTGTTTACAAGCTGGATGTTCTTTTGATAGGCTGTTAGTATGAAACAGATAGTAATGGTGTATGTCGATCCTAAGGAACTTATACAATACCTACTAAGGCAGCTAAACCGTCTACACCACACGAATAGAATGGTTTCAGCGTACGATCCACAGAACGGACAAGATATTTATTTTCCATGTTGATGATAGATCGCAATGAATTTCTCGCGTCCAATGGATCACTGCAAGAATCACTGATCGTATCAAGCCGTTCCTACATTTCAGTCCAAGTTCATCGGTCCACCTCTTTTTAGTGATTCCAAATTCTCAGAATTTTCTAAAGTTTGTGGTCAAGCGCTCCATCCACCATAATATCCAATAGTTTAGTGACAAGTATTTCAGAAGAGTCACGAGCCACATTGTGAGCGGGGCGTCCACATCGAATGAAACCATTATTTCATCCTCTGCCGTATTTACCTCCCTCAGTTTTTCTTTCAGAAATCGTCTCGCACTACTGACTGAGTATTGCTACCCACCGATAACATGTGTTAACGTTCTCCATGTTTCACGCGAGACGTTGTGTGTGATAAAATCTGGTCATAGAGGTATTATTTCTCCATTTGATTTCGGTGGTCCATGAAATCGAATAAGTCAGTAATGACTTGGAGGTAAGTCTAATTAGTCAATATAAAAATTACCAAATCACAACTAGTTAATTTAGAAAACGTCAGAATAACACATCCAATTCAAGGGAAACAAACCACAACGCAACCCAAGTCCCAAACGGACCAATAAGACAGCGAGAAAGCCACCCTTCGAATAGCCATTGAAATCGATAGAAATTAGATCACCGAAAAGCAAGAAAACTCAAAGAGGAAGTACCCAACCAACCGAATAATTCTGGTGGTGACTAAACGTTTGCAAGCCCACTGCCAATCTTGGTAAGCAGATCAATGGGCAACTGTCCGACAAACAGTGAATCAATCCAAGCTTTCGCTATTTCAACACAGTGTCAACTATCATTATTTCCGACTCATTGACGAGGGACGTCATAGATAACCGGCACATCGTGTCAACGAGTGATTGAATGCTGAAACGTCAAACTTGAAGAGCCTCTGTTATGCATACGATACGAACTGAATGTAAAACCGATGGTCGAACAACCATGGTAGCCTTGTTTCCTTCATTTGATTTCTCAGGCTAATTTGTGCATAGATCAGTCCACTATGTCTACACCACTATCAAGATCTCCTAAAACCTGTTGGTCCTTTTAGTTTGGCTCCTAGTTCTTTTCACTGGTTGTGTGACCACCGACTTAACGGTAGTCAAAATTTGTGGCTACTTTCTCATTCAAGAATGACTGTCCCTCAAAGGACATTCCTAGATGTGTTCAGCTAGGTGATTCGCACTGTAGAACACCCTTTAGTAGTCACCTATGAACACCCCCTGAATGGTGCTATCGCATTCTGTGTTCGTTAGCTAAAGGATCAGTCCATTCAATAGCACATCTTTGGATACAGCCAACGCATTATGGAATATCCGAGTTGATGCTCCGACATTACAGGGACCGAAGGGTCTGGCAACACCGTTAGTAATGGATATTTCCACAGGTTTGTAGACAGTGAAGTTCAGGAATGAGAAAAACTTGGGACTCGAGCGCACGTGACTACTGATATGACAACAATTCAACTAAAATTAGCGACCAGCTACTCGGACGGATTCAAATAGGCCTTAAGTGTTCTGGTCAGTGTGACATACAGCTCGAAAAATGGTGATCTTCTGTACAACCTAAAATAGTAGTCTGACAACTAAGCCTGAACGCTGTTGTCATGCGAAATTTCTGCTGCTATTTTTGTTGCCAGTGTTGCATCAATAGAATCTCAATCTCGGTGTTGTTGAACTTCTGCCTCGACTGATTCTAATGAAGCTATGGAAGACCAAAGGAGTATTTTTAACATATTCCCAGGGAATTCAGGGGAGACAGATTTACACAAAGAATGCTCAAGAGTTCTGAAATCAAATAGAAATCAGTAGAAGTCTAATTTATGAGTAGTTCAGTAATCCCTCTTCGTAAGAAGTTTGTGTCTAAAAGGGTAGCAGTTTGAGGACGAAAATGCTTTAACACTATATGTGCAGCTTACAGTCTTACATGAAAACTCCACCAAAGAAAAACTCATGAAAGAAACAAGTTTAGCGATACACCACTCAAATATGAAAACTTTGTCGATAAATACACTCATTTGCAAATTAATTTGGCTTCCACGATAGACTCAACTGAATCACTCGTTTATGATATTCTACAACTGAATGTGCTGCACACAGGCCGCCTCATTATTCAGTTGGCACGATATTCGAGATATCGCAGTATATTTTAATAGAGGAAACTACTCACAAGGTTGCTGAAAACCCTCGAAAACAGTTCAAGTGGAACATAAAGTTGACGGAAACTCGGGGACTGCACCTACTGGTGAGCCCCAAGAAAGGCGAAACCGGTCGTAGGCTTTTGAAATTTTCAACAACCTTGTGAGTAGCTTCCTTCATGAAAACTTTGTGTTCTGTTAACCCGGCAGGACCGCTTACTACCACCGGCACTAAAAGCAACTGAAATACTCAGGGGAAAAATAATAGGTTAGACAGGTAAAATTAGTTCGTCTGGCAATCTGTAGAACACCATCTTCACCAAAACATGAGCAATGATGCCCAGTGGGCTTCGTGGAGTACTGATGTGGCCATGAATATCAATGAAATTAACGCACACCCTTTATCAGCTAAAAAAAAAATAAATCTTGGCAAATAAATAGACGAATCCCGATAACGCGGAGTGAAAACTGTCCAGGTCCTCCCGATGATGAGAACTGTGATAGGTTGATGGACTTACCTTGCTGCCCATACTACATGTAAGTAGTATAAATGCGCTCACATTGAGGAGACGCACGTAAACGACACATTCTAAAACCCCACCTTTTTTACTTCCAGATTTATCTTGACTAACGTACCGGTATCCGATGCCTAGTAAATAAAACACTGGATAGTTAAACCTGAGAGTCAAAAGTACACTTAGACCTGTCTTATTTTCTCGGATTAAACCACAATATGGCGCCTTTCCAGTGATGGTTCGTAGTGCCCCTAACAGAGGAACTCAAGATCCTACCTTCAACCGTAGAGCTCAACTGAAATTTCCCTCCTTCCCCCGATAGATGACGACAAGGTGAACTGTCCAAATATCAAAAGTCGTACGCTACAATAAAATACTAGAAGGGCAGCTAGCTTGTTGGACAGTAACTATGCTAACACTGCTGCCGTGCCCCCAAGAATAACAAGCGCAATGGGATAATACGAAAAAACGCGACCCGAAGGCTATTCGTTCCTTTGGGAAGAGAAATCGAATATGCCTTTCCCAACAGCATGAATAAATTTTGAACACAATCTTTTCTATCCTCTCATGGGACCGAAGTTGAATCGGTCCGATGTGCATACCAGTCGTTGTTATCACCTAGCGACCGTTGTTCGTAAGACTGGAGGTGCCCCTCTCCAGCGATCTCAGGGTAGCTCTTAGTTCACTGATTTGCCACACGCACCGATGAATCGAACACTCCAGTCCTTGGCGCCACAGCCACGGAGAAAATCAATCAACTTTCCCTGCCGAAAGATCGTCCATACGGACAACCAACCGACCCCCCTCGAAAGCGTTTGGTCTCGAGCCGGGAGCATAAAATGTTACCCACCAACCATCAACACAGACGAAGTGAGGCCCATCCACAAAATATAAAATAAACAACTGCAATTCGATAAGTAAGCCAACAGTCAGTACACGGCGCTAGAAACGAAATAATCCACTAGCCAAAATGATGACCAAATGATGGGCGCTCTCTATTCACCCACTGTAAAGATAGGCCCTCTATAAGACACCCAAAAGTGAGCGAAAACCGTCCCAGAGGACGAGTTAGTGCAATGTTCATGTATTCAAAATAATTCGTCTCATAGGAAATAAGTCTGACATAAACCCCGGCATGATGAACACAATTTAGTTCAGAAAGGTAATTAGGAGAAGGTTTGCGCGCGTGATGCAGAACGAACCTGAGGAAGCGGCTTCCCGAAAGTTAAAAAATGCCCAAACGGGAAAGTTACACACAGACATAATTGTAAAAAGGGCCTAATGGTCTGAAAGAAAGAAGTTGACAGAAGTAAAAAATCAATGAATATACTACGTGAGTGCTTGGTTTGTTTAATTTACGGCAAACTGGTCAAGGACTGGCGGTGTACGCTACTTGTCGGGTGTGTATGACTACTGATATGACCTGACCGTACTAGCGGTGGGGGGGTGCACAGCTGACCAAGTTCACCGTAGCGCGATGTGCATTCACTCATGCCGGTGGACGATAAATAAATAGATTGCGCATTGTTAAGTACCGAAAAAAAAACGGGGTGTGATTCGCAGAGCAGAGGATGATAAACGGCACTTATGGTTGGTGTGACAGATGACCAAAGTCCAGATGAGCAGAATGGTACATAGGAAAAGAGAAGATCTGAGCATTGCACCGACTGTTGTGTTTCGAAGATCACCAAGTTGGCATTCAAATTAATGAGGGAAAGTCGGGTACCCAAAGGCAAGCACGATTCGAGTTACGTGGGATTGGTGTATGCGTATTTTTCAAGGGAACAGGTAGCAGTTCACCGGAGTCCACGTTGTCACAAACGGTACTACTCAGTGTGTACATCACCAAACACAGTTATGGATAGCTAAGGGCCAGATTAACAAGAGGCAGGTTCGTCCCCATCTCCCAATTTGAAGCAAATTTATGGTTTGGTGTCTGTGCATGGGTAAAAGAACGAGATCAGGACAGGAGAAGTGGTGCAACTTCTTGACAGATCGCATACTGAGCGTCGCAGGTAGTTTAATCCCCTGCTGAGGAATAGGCTGGAGTGGCAAACGGGTTGTCACAGTCTCGGTGATCATTCGTCGAAACAGTTGTAGGGCGTGATCCCATCTTGCGTTGTTTCGGGCGGCAGTACATCCGTATCTTCCATTCGTTTGACCTCTTCGAAAATACGTACCCTCCAGTCATCGATGGTCAGGTCACGTTCGTAGAAGGAGACATCATACTGGCCAGGAGGAGGCTACGAAAAACAAAAATACACAATACACACTATATATATGCATATATATATACATATATATATATATATATATTTAAACTTATATATATATATAATCAGATACATTCGGGACTACTATAAAATTGGCTGATTGGTAGCCACATTTTTGACCCCAAACGTAACATGTACCATCTGCTCTGGATGAATGGAGGGAATTCGCGGAAAGTTCCTAGTCAGCGGTGCCACTCGATCATTCGAAAACGTCAAAAACAGCGTCTGATTTATCTTCTACATGACAGTGCGTAAAATAAATAAATAAATAAATAAATAAATAAATAAATAAATAAATAAATAAATAATAGTAAGGACAGTTAAACAACTAAATAAATAAATAAATAAATAAATAAATAAATAAATAAATAAATAAATAAATAAATAAATAAATAAATAAATAAATAAATAAATAAATAAATAAATAAATAAATAAATAAATAAATAAATAAATAAATAAATAAATAAATAAATAAATAAATAAATAAATAAATAAATAAATAAATAAATAAATAAATAAATAAATAAATAAATAAATAAATAAATAAATAAATAAATAAATAAATAAATAAATAAATAAATAAATAAATAAATAAATAAATAAATAAATAAATAAATAAATAAATAAATAAATAAATAAATAAATAAATAAATAAATAAATAAATAAATAAATAAATAAATAAATAAATAAATAATAGTAAGGAGAGTTAAACAACTACCCTGAACATACCGCACAATAACTGGAAGTAGGAAGTCGGTCCCATCACAAACAACTAGTCGTTTTGGGACAAAACGAAATGCATGTTGAAAATCGGCGTCGCAAAAATACTGGAAGTACAGATAGAAATCAGTGTTGACCGGTGTGATTTAGTTGGAGTTCATGTAACCGAATGTTACAGACTTCAACGGTTATACCTCCTTAAATCAGGGTCCTCCTCACGGCGTTATATTACCCAAAGGTTGTAATTTCGTCCTCCTGTGTCAACACTGATCACGTATTCTTCACCATCCGGACAGTGGCGTTATGTCCCAGTAGGCTAAATCCCACAACTACTATTTATGGTAACGGACAACCGTGTCTGTGATCAATGGATTCCTGCCAACGCAGAGAAATTCTAGTTGGCCACACTGTGTAGCTAGGATGTAACCCAAACCAACCGGGATGGGCATACACGCAACAGTGAATCATACCCAAATGACTCCAGCGAATGAATCGTTCCCGGATAAGTCAGCTATGAGCGCATGCACCGTAGGAGCAAGCGGAACCACGCACTAGATGTGGTGTGCGAAAACACACATGAAACAGGTCAGGAGCACAACAACGATGCCTCTGTGTGCGCGCTGACGGCCATACCATTGCGTAAAATGTCCGTTCTCAATAGGATAGACTATGAGGCAGGAAGTCACGTCTGGTAAGGTGCGGTACCCCCTAACAGGAGCACGGACAAAAAGGAAGGGCATAATCTATTTACGTTCGGACTGCAGACGATGAACTAGCTTTTGTTGATAAGGGGGTGCACATGATTTTTGAGGTCCATAACGTTGCTTACTTACAAATGGGTACAGATGACCAGAAGTGGCAAGCAAAACTGTCCTCTGATAGTCGAACTGGACCCCTTCAAGAGAGCATTGTTGGAAACGTGACTACCTGACGCCAAAACTGTTCTAGCGTTGCTTTTGGGCACCAAAAGGTAGGATTCTTGAATGGTTGGTGGGGCGTTAATTCAACTGAGGCAGATAGCGGAATCTCAATTTACACGAGAATAAACTGACTAGCAAAAACAGACCCATATATCAGGAAAACTTCTGCAGAGGATTCAAACACAAAATGACGTGGTTTTGCAACTATTTACACGAAAGAGGACTAGCCTAGCCACCATAAGTTGGTTAGTGGCACCTTTCCGTCAGATCTTACCCCCTCCGGATTCGAACACACCTTCGAGGCGTTTTAATAATCACGACATAGCTGTCACTGGATCCAAACTGGATATCACGAACTGCGGTCTGTCCCCAATGACTTATCGCGACAAATAATCTTAATGTTTTGGGGGTTATCCGTTCATCCTATGAATCATACTTATGTGCTCTGAAAGCGTTGGAAATGTCACTGCATCCGTATGCGTGTGTATGTGTGTATGGATAACCACGTGATTATTCTGAACCGCGGAATGAAAAAACTCGACATTTTCTGAGGCTCGGATCACGTGAGTGTTTTACTATGGATCTGCTCAGCCTTTAGGGGGCACTGAACGATAAAGCTGTGTTTGGGTGGTTGGGCTAAAGAAAAACTCTAAGTTTGACGTGGGGGGCATTGAAAATGATTACACTCAGAGGATAATACAGCCAATCCATCTGTAGCAACCCATCTAATCCTTGAACTTGCTTTTGCTTGTCTATAGGTGTAGTTATACCCTCTGAAATTTTCTGACTTCATTGGCACTAAAAAGCATTCGTTTTGACAGAGAATCACCATGAGAAAGAAGTCAAAAAAACTAAGTAGCAAAGAACATCCAAAAGACTCCAACAAAAATACTCATGGGATAGACAAGACGTAATTGCTGTGAGGAAGTCAGTTCAGCTCTAGGCAGTAACACATAACGACTTCTTGAGGAGCCTGAGGTCAATTAGTGAAACAGATGGTCATTTGAAAAGTGAGTTAGGTTGAAGCTCCATCATCAAACTCACCGCGTTCACCTCAGATTCATCAAACCAAACATTGATGTATGGATGCTGAAGAGCCTCATCTACTGAGACGCGTTCCAGTGGGTCAATCACGAGCATCCGATAAAGCAGATCACGGGCTTGATCAGCATTAAGCGTCTCGTGCTCCTAAGAAGAAAGGCAGGAAACGCGACTAACCAATACAGAAAAGATGCATGTAAAACTGGTGGTTGGATTATAAAGAAGTAGGTCACAGGAAGATAGATTCCTTGCGGCCGGTCAAGTAATTCCAAAAAAGCACGAAGGTTGAGTTACTGCCACGAAGTTCAATCCAGGATGGGGATAACTGAAAAGCCAATGTTGGGTCCAAATGACAGATCGTTCATGACAACCATTCGGTCATCTTCAACTCATCCACGCTGTCTTGAAAACAAGTAGTTTCGACACTCCTGGATGCTGTCTAAACTATCCCCACAAGTAAATAGTGCTCAGGACTAGTAAACTCAGACAAACCAGACAGAGACTTGCGCTCAGTAGTTGCGAATCTCGAGATAAGCACCGGTGAAAAAACTGCCTAGCAGTCGGAGTGCGTAAGCAGACGAACAATTAAACATACGACTGAGCCGGCTAAGCGACTTCCTGTGTCTAAGGGCATACTAATGACCAGGCAATTAGGTATGGCTTTGTATCTACTGCTGTAGTGCTGTAGTCGGAAGCGTGCCTGGGACGAACACTTGTACAAAGGGTAGATCTCAGTGTGCACACAATCCAAACGTACGTGAAAGCTTCCCAAAGACCGCCAAAAACGTCAGGCCGTTGAATGGATAGGAAAGTAACTGAGGTGGTGAACGATACCTGCTTGGTCAACGCAACTGGAATGCCAAATGGTGTGCAACGTAAGTTGTTGCGAAGACTTTATTGGTTCCCCTGTCGCGTAGGGTGACAAAACCCTGGGCACGTGTTCGGTGAGTGTCTAGGCGTGTCCGAAGACTTGCCGAAGACTAAGCTTCGGTCTAGGGCCAGTTGAAGGGCGTTGCTGTGGCAGTGCAGTGACTATTCGATTGCGTACCGTGAGTAATGTTGTTCGGTTGATGCTGATTGGCTGTAGTGACTCTTCTGTGGCCTCGAAACACGGGGACAGCGTAAAATGGTTACTGACCCGGGTATCGAGTCTATTATTAGGTACACAATGGTCTCGACAATCGTTTAGTGAAATGGGGAGTGTGCACACTACTTACGGCACCCAGTCCAATTGAGTGAGTAAACCCAGTAGCGACAATATTGACGGTGATCTATCTACAGTGTGGTTTGTCTCACCATCCCATTAATCTATGTAGATACTAGGTCTGACGTCTTTGGATAATTAACTGGTGTTGGGCACGCCATATTTCTATGATGCTAATTAACTCTAGAAAATTCTACCGGGTGGTGCTTACCACGAGAATATACTTGAGAATACGACGGCGACGAGGTTGATGATGATTATTTAAGCCGGCTTTTTATAACTGAGGAGTAATGCATAAACGAGTTTCCTGTCCATATATGGCAAAACCAACTAGTTGGAGTTTGGGCACTGATTCTTCATCGTCTCACAACAGCATACGAACACGTCAGCCGTGAGCATCAAGAGAGATCTGAACCGGATAGAGGCGATTAACAATCTCGGTGTTCCTCCACTTTAAGGGTGCGTCTGATTCTGTCGGTTGGTCAGTGCCGTTAACACTACATTTGCTCAACGGGGTATGCCCCAGAAGTTCATGAACGTAATCCGATTTCGATATTCCCATACCTCTGGGTGTGTGAGGGTTTATGGTGAGCTCTCCAAAAGCCTCCCTACAAAGTGTTGTCTGACAAGTATGCCCACTCTCTCTGTCCTTGTTCAACTTCGTCATTGACGAAATCACGAGGCGAATGCTGGGAAATCTTCAAAACACCAGTGTTCAAATCGCTGCTAGTGAGAGCCTTGTCGATCTCGGGTTCGCAGCACAGATCTTGTTGAGTAAACCAACTACCGTCATACCCTTTTTCAGTATGTTTTACAACTCCAAAGTGCAAAGTTATGCTCTAGAACGTGCAGTCTTCGGACATACCCCTTACAATTGAAGGTTGTGGAGAATTTTACATACCTCGGTGGTTGTATCAGCTCTGACGAAAACGTGGCTGATGAAATCAGTGGAAAAATCTCAAAGTCCCGAATCACGTTTACTAATTTAGGTCACTTGTGGTATCAAGAAGGCATATCACTTGGTTTCAAAGGTCACGTGTACCAGGCTAGAGAAAGGGCTGTATTGTTGCATGGTTGCGAAACACCACCTCTGCGAACAGATGATGTCAGAAGAATTCGCGTCCATGATCACCGATGCCTCCAAAATATCGACGATGTTGGATGGGGTCAACGGATTAGTAACGAGGTAATTACAAAACTGGTATGTGATTGTGCATCGGGCACTTCAATCGCGGAAAACATATAGCCTCATCAACTACAGTGGCTCAGTCACGTGCCGCGCATGTCGGAACACCGTATCTCCTTCAGAATGGTACGATCCGAAATGTAAACTAAGGATAACTTTGCAAAAGAGGGTTTGGGCAGCAAGTCTTCAAAAATGATCCCCCTGCACTTGGCTGGAGACAATGCAAGAAATGGCGGCTGATTTACATCAGTGGAGTATGTGCTGCCAGTTTATTCCAGGATTGTCTGATTGATAGTTTATGGATGTAGGTACCTCAGAGGGTTGGGATAGGTAAGCGCCAGGTCTCTATTCCTTCATCCACTCTTTTCTCTTCTTTCCAGTCAAATAAAATTAGACGAAATTTGTGGTTGTACGGTAGTATCAACACTGATGGAGACAAAGAAATGGCGGCTGATTTACATCAGTGGAGTATGTGCTGCCAGTTTATTCCAGGATTGTCTGATTGATAGTTTATGGATGTAGGTACCTCAGAGGGTTGGGATAGGTAAGCGCCAGGTCTCTATTCCTTCATCCACTCTTTTCTCTTCTTTCCAGTCAAATAAAATTAGACGAAATTTGTGGTTGTACGGTAGTATCAACACTGATGGTGCTGTTTCTGATGACTGGAGTTTACAAAATCATAGTAGTCCATTGCAAAGTGAACACCCGTTTTCTGTCCATCACACTACACCGCAGACACCGTGTTAACAACTCTCTGTCAACATTCTGAAAAGGACAATCCAGTTCGGTTTACCGAGAAATTCAGAAACCCCTCCCTTCTGGATGGCATTATCCGAGAAAACTAAATTACCAAACTAGTCAGTGGCTTGGCTATGAGACTCCTCATTCGTGGCAGAAAATGGTTAATTGTTGCGCAGTGGTGAGGCAGAAAGGGGTCGAAACCAGCAACGATGTATTAACCTGATGCTGAGGAATACCTCTAGCAGTGGGGTTGTAATTTTGCATTTTTGAGAATTAGCGCAGGTCTATTCAGCGAAACAATTAGGGTGGCTGCAACCGGTACACCTGCCATCTGTATTATAAAGTTGCTGACCTGAAACAGTAGGAAGCTTCTAATGTGGTTGTATTCTAATCAGCAGAACAACGACAAGAAGCCTGTAGGTATCCAGGTTTAAGGGTAGAAAAAACTGCGTTTTTAGAAACTGCTTCCATAGTGAATGCGGATTATATCGGGGTTCGCGGCAACGCCGTGGAAATCGTTGGAGAATCAAGAAAATTAAAAAGCAGGAACTCAGAGCTTCGGCCTAGTCAATGAAGAGAAGTGAGGAAACTGGTGTATGCTCACCAGGTATGGCCGTCGAGCAGGTAGCAAAACTAGCTTCATGGAAAAAATCGCAGCTACTGACTGTGGCCCCTTCAGAGACCGGAAAATGCTGAACCACTCAACCTCTAAACAACAGCTCTTGTCGTCTGCAGGATGTCAGATCAGTGTTCGGAGGAGCATTCAGATTCGCGCCAAGCTATTAGGAAAAAGCCGTAAGATACCAAACCAGAGAGAGACTCCACCAGGGGAGCATAATAATCACATCTCAACGTACGATGCCAGCCAACGGTCTTGGTTGTGCTGATAGTTCTTTTGTTGTCGAGATTGGACAATTGTTCACTAGCATCCCGATTGTGGATTTCCAAAAAACTGTACTGAACTTCAGATGCGAATACTTATGAACGGTAGTCACACGGTGCTGGACATCATGAATCAATGCGCAATGCGACTCATGTTACCTGCTCCAGCCTCGAAAAGAGGAAAATGCATCATCGACTGGGTTTTTTTTTTGCGTCTGTGCAGTTATCCGACTTAGTTATACAACCTCCTGCGTCAGCGGAAAAGGCCAGCACAGACGTTCTGATTACTTATCCACACCTGGCTACTTCCGTGAGATTAGGAGAAAGTGTGCGTATGCGCCGGTAAGGAAGAAAAGAAAGAAACGAAAGCTAAAAACGTGAGAACTAGACTATCTTCCTTGAAAAAGACAGAAAAACGATGTTTTCTCCAAAAACCAGTTCGTATCACAAGGCAATAATTGCCTAGGGTTCATGTCGGTTGGCCGAGTGCTGATACAAATGCGTAGAAGAACCACGTGATTCTGGCAAGCCGGAAAACAGGAAAAAGACAGAAAACGATGTTTTCTCCAAAAACCAGTTCGTATCACAAGGCAATAATTGCCTAGGGTTCATGTCGGTTGGCCGAGTGCTGATACAAATGCGTAGAAGAACCACGTGATTCTGGCAAGCCGGAAAACAGGAAGAACGATTCACAAGACAGGATCAAATATTTGGAGAGGAAGGCTGTAACCCAGTTGAAACGTTTTCTATAGAGAAAAATGTCGGCAGCTCAGGTAGCGTAGATGGTTGAAATGTCTCGGTATACGGACCAACACACCTGGGGATAAAAAATTTCGCGATTTGTTTCACCTTTTTTATTCTTATCCCTAACCTGCGTAACTGTTACCATCATATACCAGTACGTCGTGTTCTTTGTTATTCAGTAAATTTCTTATAGTTTTTTGTGCATAAACGCCAAATGAACTAGCATGCGAACTTGTCTATAAATCGACATCTGACGAGCGAAGTCAGCGTGATTCGGGCTTACGGTTCTTCGATCTATGGGGCCTAAAATTTCAGTGAGTAGGCAAGGAATTTTTCATGACAGCCATGGTATCGAAAATCGTTGAAGTTTTTTCACACTTCGTTCGTTTAGTCGATCGGAGGCTTGAGCAGATCTTGAAACTTGGTGAGCTATCGCCTACCTCCCATGACATTGATCCGAAGGAAGCTAGCACAGGTAACGTTTCTTCAAATGTTGAGGTACTCAGTAAAAACTGGTAGCTAGGGACAAACGAGTGATGACCACCTGATACCAAAATTCATCACTGGTTCCAATGACTCCTCGTCTGTAGCAGGCACACGGGTTTGATAGGTTAACCAAGCCATATAAGGGAACTTAACAACCTAAACTCAATGATGTTCATCAATGAACGATGAGATCTGTCAAAATGAGCGAGGATATCAAAGGCTGGGTCCATACGGTGGTTCTATCCACCGAATCGTTGAATCACACTTGATTTCATGTCGGTTACGCCTAATTATCCAAAAATTCATCCTACACAGTCACAAAGTCAAAGTGGAGTTGGAGACGAGACCAATGGAACCCTACAAAAATAACTCCTGATGTTGCCTGCTGTAACCGCTGTGGAAATTGACAATGTTTAGGCAAAGTGAAGTGAATGAATAAGATTGGCTGGATGTTCTGATGATTAATGAACGGCGTAACCGTAGAAAACAACGGGTTTCAAGCAAGCGGGGAAACACCTGATTGGGAAGTTCCGAGCAACATAATCGAGACAGCTGCTGAGTCCTCGTTCGAAGCGTCTGGCAAACGAACCAAAGCAATCGAGCATAAACCCGTCTAGGCGTGATAAGTCAGATGTGTCCGGTATGTGCTAGAGAAGTGGCCGTATCGCGCTCGCCCCACATGTCACAGGTTTGGGGATCGAATCCCGGTACAGCGAAAGATACGCACTACCGATGAAATCTAACAGGTGTGAAAGTCGAATCCGATGCGACAGGATAGAAAACGGGGACGGTCCAAATGAAACTAATGTAACTACCACAAATGCAATGGCTATGTGATCTAGAAACCACTTCCATTTCTGTAAAAAGCTTTCATCGATTCAACAATTGAGCAGCGGGTAGACGCGAATCCCACCTATGATCGTCAACCACGAGTCGTCATAATGTGCAATGTCTAAGACGTCAGTTGAACCTCGAACAGAAGCCAGCCTTCATAAAGTAAGGAAGGGAATCGTTTGAAAGCTACTGATTCAGACACATGACTGGCGTACCATGTTTTGGTGACGGTATGTGACAGAAAGCTGCATCTATATTTCGGTGAATCACGTGGAATAAGAAGAGGACACAATGGAATACGTCATATACGCAAACCGTCAAGTCAAGAACTTACGGAGCTGGATGGGGGGAAGCATTCGTCCGGGAACAGTTCGGAGAATGGTCTAGGGTCGGTACGTGGCCGCAGCATGAGATACCGCCGGACAGAATTCTCCAGGCGACTCATAAACTCGGAACTAGGGGTACCTAGCTCGTCCGTAATTTTGGTCCACTGATCCACATAGTCTGTGCCAGGAAACAGGATACGTTCGAGTACCATTTCAGCAAAAATACAGCCGACAGACCAGATATCTACATTCTCTGAGTAGCCTAATCCAAGGATGACTTCGGGAGCTCGATAGTACCTGTAGTGAATAAGATAAAAAGAGGTGGAAATGTTCAGTGTTGAGAATTTTTGCGTTCCAGCAAAGAACTCCCCTTAGGAAGGTGCCTGCATGTTGGTATGCTACTTAGACACATATTATTAAACGTTATAATACACACAATATAATGATGTGATATACATTATATTACACATGATGCATATATATATATATATATATATATATATATATATGGGTGTGTGCGCGCT